TAAAATGGTAAATATTTGGTGTCAATATGTCTGTCAACAAATAGGTGATGTGGCCCACGGCTAAGTTTATGTTGGTTTGACTTTTATGTTAGCAATCCCATTGTATAATGTATTACTTTGCGCTAAACAGCCATACGCCATTAGAATAAATAATTAGATAAGCAAAATGGTTCACTCAGATGACAGTGCATTTGAGAAAATATTAATTAAACCTATAATATGGACGGATAAAGTTGATAATTTGCGCTGATATATCAGGTAATCTGGACGGAAACTAAACTAACTATCGTAAATATCGATTCGAAAAGTGTGTTCATATATTTTTACATAAGTGTGACGACTTTGTCTTACTATCCTGTTTTATATTTTATGTTCGAGATCAGACCCAATTTCAGAGTCACATGTTTTCAGACCCACATTTCACAATTATGACCTGTATATGATATATTTGTGTGTTGTGTATGCTATTGAATATATATAAACAGCCATAACAATAGAGGCAAATCGACGCTGAAGACAAACTGAAATTATTCAAATTATGCTATGCAGTCATATATTCATATTCAGGTAGAGAATATATATTGGTGGCGCTATAACGGTAAAAAATATAATGCTTACCCTGGCCTTCTACAAAACGATCGACTAAATAGTCCCAATCGCATGGCTCTAAGAACTTTACAGTCGCATGCCATGCATGAAGAGATATGCAACAGTCCCTGGGATTCCTTGTTACAAGGATAATCTAAATTCAAACATTGTATGAATTGCATTAGATGTGATACAAAATGACGTCACATATCGAGAATTTATAACGGAGACGAATTACACTATGCGGGAATTTCGTGGCTTAATCACGTGTTTGATCGCGACCAACCCAACATATCTCCTCCACCAGACAGTTTTATCGGGATACGTGATATATGTCATGTTTGAAGATGAATGTTTAGATACCCTAGGTTTTTTGGTGAACACCTGCGGTGGCATCAAATCAACTGGCAGATGAGTCTGGATTTGTCGAGGTGACTTCCACGTTGACACTTTTTTATACGTAGCGATTTCGATGCCTGGTGCCGGGCCTAATTCGATCAGATTAAGTTTATCCTCCATCCTTTTGCCCTTGATTTCGTCGATGTTTCCCCTATGCATAATAGCATCTACGATCTCGAGAATGAAGGTTGTACCTACAAGGAAAGTGAAATATTATTACGACACCTGATGTGATAATCTGCACTATCGTCGTTTGGACTAGTCTTGAAATTTGCCACCCACGATTTTGTGAGAAAGCCTGCGTTATAAATTTTATTTTGGTATGCATATGAGCATGTTAAAAGAGAATCATTCATAAAGTTCCATAACCGTCACATGTTGTAGAAGTACATATTGATTTGTTAGAGGGTGACATGGACATACTAAACATAATACTTTCTATGTAGAAACAACGAACAATCCGTGACCAACACATACCACAGTTTTTACCCGTTTGAGTGTTCTTAGCAATGCAAACATGATTACACCCCCTTTCTTCCTTTTCACTTATATAGTTAACAGTCATTTAGCACCCCTGAACACATCAATGGTTGCTTATGCTGTTCCAACAGTCCATTTTTACATATTTTCGACACAGGCAATTTGAAGCATAGAAGTGAGCGGCTACTCATAAAAGATTTGATAATGAAAATTTGATAAAGGCACAGAATACTCGGTTTTTTTTTTTTTTTTTTTGTCTTTCAAAAATAAAAAACTACTAAAAATGGTGGATTTTACATAAATTACAGATAGATCATAATTTAATCCGACTTGTATCAGTTTGCCATCAGTCTCGAGGGCGCAGTGGTTCCGCTGATTGCTTCCAACTGGAAAAAGGGTAAAGGGTAAAGGTGTGTCTGTAATATAATTATTCATTGTTTCAAATAACACATGGCCATGATTGGTCACCCATAAGTCCTTACTTTGTGTACATAATTTACAGACGACGAACTCCAGTATATATAACAGATAAAGGCTGCTTATCTTTCCAATATTCAATTTAAAAGAGACATTTGTTGAAGGAATAAACCGCAATGGCCGGATTATGAACAAAAAAAAACGGCGGGCCCTCCCACTCTTTTGGTCCGTCTGAGTCACCCTATTCCCAAAAGACTGATCGGTAATACTAGACTGAATTGTATTTATTGTATCTCATTTTTCAATTGATGTATTTTTAACGACCGTATGAATGAGTTGCTGACCCGTACTTGTCTTATTTAACTGTCACCCAACATAGTTGTTATGCAAGATAAATGCAGATTAAATAGACCATGGTTTGCTGATTGTTATCAAATACCTGACACAACAAAATAAATTAAAAGATATCACAGAGAGGCACGTCCGTTCCTTCACCTTCCCAACAGACTGGAGGTCAAATTGAGTTCAACGACCGAATGATTTACTCACTGACGTCGACTGGCCCGTACTTTTTTTTAATTTCACTCACCCCATACTGTACTCATTTGTTACGCAAGGTTATAGATCGTGATTACATAATACCTGACACATATTGCATCATTGCAGTAGTACTGTATCGTACCCATGTCATGCACATTTCCTTTAATTGGAGTGTGGATAATTTTCTGTTTTGGCCGTTTCTGAGATCCCACTATGGTTAACATTGGTAAATCCCATTTTTTTTACATGGGGTTTAACAGTAAGTTGGGATTGCATATCAAACTTCACGACGAGTATGCGAAAAACGACAAACTAAGTGAATGTTCTACCTTTTTTTATATAAATTGTGTTTCAACCGTTTTTACATTTAAACCCCACGAAACGCTGCCATCCTTACTTTCGGCTTTCACCATTCTGGTACAGCCAGATCTGAAAAGGCTTTGCCGCAATCTGGCTAAGCTGTGTGGTTTGGATCATGTGGACGGGTTTCATGCTCTCCGCACGTAATAAGCTCGATTATTAAGCATTATTTATTAGGGATGCCCGGTGGCGGAGAGGAAGACGTGTAGTGGCGTGAAGCTAGGCGATTAGGTGCCGTAAGCGAGCGCCGGTTCGGTTCCTGTTTACTTTGATTTAACGTAGTGTTTACTATGCCGTTTATTCGGTGTTATTTGCTTACTTTACTTTGTATGTTAGCAGCAACTATGAGTTTACATCCTGTTTGAATACTTCGATTGATAACATACAAGTGATTGAATTTGGAGTGATTCATTTGCTCCTGGTTTTGGGCACAAATTTGAACCGCGGCCGGAATAATTCCATGAACGGACCACTACAATGAACACAGTACATTCCTTCGGATGTGACATGGCATCTAGGGTCCGTTTATACCCATACACAATTTTTTATACAAATAGATATTTTGACCCAGTATATAGTCACAGTGGCTGCACTCCTCCTCTGGTCGAGTCTCACATTTACAGCAAATACTAAACCGCGATTAAAGATAATTATAAAATCAAATGCAATCTCTTATAAAAATGCAACTTAATTAAATTGCAATTCAACGCTGAAGCAAAATTCAATAAAAACTAAATTAAAAAAACTTCTCGTAAATTCTAATTAGAAACGTAATTAATTCCGATCTAATTAAATTACAATTCTGTTTAGGAATGTAACTTAATTACAGTTTAATTGAGCTGTATCTAATTACATGTACTGTACTTTGAATCAGTTGAATTTAATTTAACGGCTCTTGGTATTGGCATAAGGAGGTAAGTGATACTTTTGGTCGGTTACATTATATCAATCTCAACTCTTAACATAATGCCAAGACACGTATTTTTACAAATTAACTTCAATACCATTTCATTATCCTACTATATCCACTTTTTTTATTAGCACCACTAATATTCAAAAAGCGTAAGACTTTGAGAGAGGTTCGCAAATTGTAAATCGCGGTTTAGAGGTAAACCACATTTAACTCCATTTTTTCTGCAAGCACATGCTTACCTGCTTTCGGGTAAGTTACAATGTACACATCATCGTCTCTGACTTCGAAGTCTTTCAGTGCGTGTATGCTATCGGTGTGCATAGCGGTTACCATGAGTCTATCCTTCCTTCCATCGTAATAGTAGGTCTTTTCAAATGGAGGGGTTAAGTCGTCTGTTTCTGGCATGGTTGTACGAGTTGAGTAAGGCTTTACGCTGGAAGGGTTAGGGTGACGGTGTGACGGTGTGTATCGACAGACTGTAGAATGGTGATAGTTCATCTTGTTTATATAGTCTAGTTTAGACACACCTAATTGGTGTATTGTGTCACACAATGACAGATGCAAATCAGTATCACAAGTAGAAGACTGGTGGTGGTGTTAGTCCATAAGTGCATTACTCTAACATTGATTGCAATGTGCACTCAGTAGCGCGCCCGCTTCACGCGCGGATTCAGGAGGAGGCGCACCAGGCGCGCGCCTCCCCTTCAGCCCGAAAAAAATAATAACTGACAAATCAATTGACAAACCCAGCCCACCGTAGGTGCGCGGACGAGCCTTTCGGCCACTTAAAAAGGGGCGCGCCCCCTTACCGAATTTCTGGATCTGCCAGTGCGCTTGTAGAACGTTTGTGCCATTAGCTTGCTTTTACTATCTAATAAACAATTTTCTTAATCACAAGGCAAAAGTCAATATTAAGCAGCAGTTACCCACAGTGTATGAGGTATTAATAGCAATGGTTAATTAAATGTACTTCAATGATATCACAGGAAATGTACATTCCACGTGTATCATACAGTCATCATACAGCATTCACGGATTCAATACACGACGCAAAGTAACAACTGTAGCGCTTTACCTAACAGTTTGTATGCTTTTTATTGAAAATATACAACAACTTAAGGAATATTACTATTTATTTATTTATTTACTTAATTCATACCAAAAAATCCATGTTGACTCTATATTGCATGGAATAACAATTTAAAAAATGGCCTTGTTTTTGCTACAAAATTAGAATGCTAATCCATTATGATGATAATTTTCACAGAGGCGTCATATTATCATTCAATTTCGCCAGTGTTTGATTCCAATATTTGAAAAACTGAATATATATATATATCATAATACTAACATTATTTTTAAATGAAAAAAACAACATTTCCTAGTGTACACATGTACATCCATCTCCCTTTGAGATACTATGAGATACCAGCAATTCCTATCTATTGTTTTCAGTGCATTCTTGTTATTCGCAAGAAATAGCTGGTGTTCAGTGGCGGTCTTCCCATATCCACACTCAAAGGAGCAACAGATGACATATTTACAACCCACAAAGGAATTGTGCATACTGTGACCGTCAAGAATAAATCTACTCATAGTCGAGCACTCTTTATTTCACTTGGTATTTTATAAAGTTATGACCTATTCAAAAACTAATCATGCACCTTCATATATGATATTCATTTTAATAGACTTCCTTGTAAGCTATTTCATCCTATCCAAGCATGTGTACAACACTAGATTCTCAACTAAATCAAATCTATCATATCACCTAAAGAGACCTACTTTCTGTGAATTTTCCTTCTATTTCCAGGGAATCAAAATGTGAAATGAACTTCCCATGCATACTAAACAAATCGTTAAATTTTGAAAAGGAAACTGAAGCGACATATAATGAAATCAAATTAATACTGTGTCTGCTCTTTATTCATAACTCAATTACGTAGTGAATAAAACAAATGGTTGTTTAACTTGTTGATCGACTATTATTATCTTAATCATTATAATATATTATTCATTTCTATATTGGACAGTAGACTTGGCTAGCACTACTTGTGCTATTTTCTACATTTTTGTCATTTTACATTTTACACTTACACTTTTCTCTGATTTTTTTTATTTTTAATAAAACATTTCTTGCATTATTTGTGCCAAATAGTAATGATCACCACCAAAAGTAGACACAGGAAGCATAGCATATACGTTATATACCAACGTTGCACATTAAATCACTTGCAAGGGCAAAAATATGGCGTCCAAATCTTCAGAAGGCTCCATCTACTGAAATAATCTTTTGTCAAGCGAAATTTAAAGGGCGGCAGTCGTCGCACCGCGTCCTGTTCGATATGGGACTCATAGCAACGTATACAACGCGTGTAAAATACATTGTTTGTTTACATGAAATTCGAACACGCGCTGCGTGACGACCACCGCGCTTTAAGGATTACGGTGCAGACGATCACGTACTGTCGTCTCTGGCTGAAATGGTAAATACATCACCATCTCATAGCCGGTCACTGATAATGTTATGTGCTCTTTCCCATATTAGTACGACCACCGCGCTTTAAGGATTACGGTGCAGACGATCACGTACTGTCGACTCTGGCTGAAATGGTAAATACATCACCATCTCATAGCCGGTCACTGATAATTTTATGTGCTCTTTCCCATATTAGTATGTGCTGCACATCGTAGTTTCTCACGTTACTGTTTCAATGAAATGGCAACTATACAAACTTTAGTTGTCACCCTATTAAGTGACACTTATAACAGAACATAACATTTTTGTAGACACATTTTCATCAGTATCTCACAAAATACATGAGCCAACCATGTTTGTATAGTAATTGCTAATATACATAAAATGTTAATGGTTGGAGAAAAATTAAACGAGCTATTCTGACAGACAGCCAAAGTCCCCTAGTATAGGGTAATGTTGACCGGCACATGTGACTGAAGTACTACGAACTGCTCTAGTATTAATCACGTGACACAATGCGATACAAGTACGGGTCACTCAGGCTTTGACCCATATTTCAAAAACTTCAACGGCTACAAAAACGCGACTCTACAGACATGGCGGGAGTGCTTGTTACCTATGAAGTCACTACTTTACCTAGAATTAGTTTCCATTGAAAATACATTTTTGGCTGTTGTGTATGACATTTATTAGTACCCGGGGGGAAAACGGGGACTTATAATTCGGTCCCCGTCCGTGCGTCCGTCCGTTCGTCCGGAGTCATATTTCAGAATCCTTTGGACCTATTCCGATTCATTCTTTGCATGTGCCCAGCACTTTATGTGGGACATATGCACATGCAGTGGTTTAGCGATTAGATTCAAAATGGCCGACTGGCAGCCATCTTTTATTTTGAAAATGTTGTATTTTGGACATGCTTTGTCAGTTTTCATTCAAACTTGGTACATAGATTATACATGTTAGGATACATGTCCATGGCATTATGTTTCAAAATTGACAACCATCTGAGTTTTTGGCCTTACTACTATATTACCAAGATTTATGTACCACTTTTCATTCGTATTTGGCACATACATCATACATGTCACTTTGTTTCATAATCAGGTCAAAGATGGCCTAATAATGGCTATATTACTATATCTCTGTCAACCATGTATCATTTTCATTGATATTTAGCATGTCATAAATTGGTACATGTACTTGTCAATTCAATTTGCAATTTGATCAAATCTGGCCGACTGGCGGCCATCTTGTTTGTTTAAAATGTGATAACTTGGACATGCTTTCACTTGTGATCTATGTTTTTCTTTGCTATGTCTTAAACCGGAGGGGTCGTCACGCAACACATGTTCGAATTTGATGTAAATAAACAATCTGTTGTATACGCCACTTGGGACTCAAGTTTCAAGGACATGCTCGCGACAACCCCCTCCACTTTAATATGACGAGCACAAAGAGAACTTTCAAAAATTTAACGGGGACTGTGTCATTGTCAATGACTTGTTTTCCCTGAATCTTTTTGAGTTGAATGTAAAACATGAATTCCCACTGATTCATTCTTTCAGGGAAGATAGCGGGAAAAAAATGAAATAGAGTACTGTTTACTATTCTTTAATTCAATAGCAAACTTGTGTTAGATGTTTTGGACACACATATTCACAGTACGGTGACTATACGTATAAATACGTAAAAAAGTACGGGCCAGGGACGGAATCTGTCAGTCGTTAAATACTGATAATGGTACACAAGAAACAATTTAGTGAATTCGTGAGGGTCGTTAATGTCATCATGACTAAGTAACAACATCGATATTCCTCATTTTTTAATCAGTATTGTGAAAAGGGGGGCAGGGGGGGATAGCTCAAATCAGATTGTAATCACGTCATAGTCGCCAAGAAATATTTGAGGTGGTCTGCTTCTCTAATTATACAAATTCAATTAATCAAAATTGTTGGTTGTAAGCAATTTTGTTTGTGCTAGTGATAAAATAATCTTCAAAATTACGGGAATCTACACTAAAATGGTATTCACCGTATTCCGGCATACATTGTTTTTGTATTTTGTACATTATTCTATGGCTATTTAAACCTTTTTAAACCTCGCATGTTTACCTTCGAAATAATACAAACTAAAACGAGTCATTAACGCCGCCATGTCACGTTGAGTCAACTACGTGCAATGAATCAAGATGACAAGGCAAACCCTCGCCTAGACACCCACTGTAGACAATATACGGAAACCCACCAATCACTGGGCGTGTTTTTTTAAATAGTTTTTGAGATCCCAAAATACAGTATAATTTTTAATGGTACTTAGTGCCTTGAAATTACTGTAAAGAGACATAAGATAATAAATCTTATTTCTTGGCTTATGTCTCAAATGTTCAATGTTGGTTGATGTGCACTGATGCGTAATTTCATTAAAGCGGGAGGGTCGTCACCACCTGCACACGCGCGGGAATTGAGTCTCAAGCGACGATAACAACACACGCTAAAAACGACACAATGACACGCTACGGCCATCTGACGCATGCGCAGGTGTCGACTCTCCCGTTTGAATGTAACTTTGTGTGTACGGTCATTGATGTTATTTACGTATTCATTAATTATTTTCTATACTGCAAATATTTTGAGTTTGTTACCAGACAGCGCTTTCTTTGCTTATTGCCATTCACAGATTCAAATTAGTGGCGCCCTCACCGACAACCGTTTATTAGTTATATCAGGGGGAAATTCTCTTCTCTCTGGGTTCTCCACACGTGTCAGGGGGGAATTTCGTCTCGTCTCTATATCTCGTCCGCTTGAGGTATGGGATCGGGAATGTCACTTATACTTTACAGTCAAATAAGACACACATAACGAAATACGTTTCAGCTCTCGTCTTAGTCGGTCAATCGAGCACTCTATCAGACACAGCGCCCTGGGGAAAAATCCCCAAGACTATCGCAAGGCTGACCCAAGACTCTTTTAGACTGCGTCAAGGCTCGCCCCAAGGCTCTCCAGGACTGGACCACGACTGCGTCTATCGTGCTGTGCTCCCCAAGACCAACTCAAACTCTCTTTATTCATTTTCAAAACTCTAACCAATTACAAAGCAGTAAAAAGACTCTAGGGCGTAACCTTCAATCATAAAGCCAATCACACTAAGTACTGAATACGTCATATCTTTGATTAATCGTTCACTACATTAATAACTATGGATACCAACTGTCAGAATCTTAGTCAGAATAGCGGCGGTTATCTGGTAATTAGTTCCAAATCATTGAGCCAAGTTCCGTCCAAAACTTCAAACAGACATAACACAGCAATTGAGCTAATAATCAGCTAATTAAGGTAGAGATGCAGTTTATTTGTGAATTTCAATCAAAAATAGTTTTTTTCGTTTTTTATATAGATTTTTATCTAAAGAACATTCTGTGAAAATTTGACCAATGAATTCTTCTTGGAACACCGTTAAAATTGCTGTTTATTTTCTGGTTAAAAATAAAAAAAAAACACTCTCACGTGGCAATGTTTATGTCCAATTGTCTAATTTGCATGAGTAACCAAATAACAGGACCTTTGATTGACAATATGCAAATCGAGATTGTACGGGTCATAGTTCATTCAATTCACGCGCATGTGCAATTATTCTCAAATCAGTTCTCGCTCGCTAGCAAACC